ATTTTTTTTACCCCCTCCCCCCCCCCCCGCCCCAGTAAAAAGCTGCATAATTTCTTTCTTTTTAAATTATTTTATTTAATACCCAGTTATGATGAGGTAGTAAGAAAAATTACAGAAATTACAGATATCACATCTTGCTTTGAATAATTTAAATGTTATAATAATATAGTTGGTCTGTGTTAAGGGTCATTTGCAGAGTGGAATACCAAGACTGCTCATATATGGGTTGTGCAAATTTATCAGCAGAACCTAGTTTTAATAACCATTTCCTAGGGTAAACTCTGCCCATGGACTCACCCTAGCATAAGCAAATGACCTTTTTATCTTATAAGTGATTACATTGAAGAGGTGCAGCATGATATAGCTTCTAACTTGGTGAGGTTTTTTGTTATTTCCTTGGTTTGTTTTTTTTTTTTTTTAAGAATTTCTGGTACTGTACAAAGATCGTGAAACAAAGTCATGAAGTTACAGTAGAATCCTCTCTTTTTATGACAGAGAGAAAATAGCTTTTTCTAGTTTTGCTGAAGTTCAAACATTTCACTAAGGAATGAAGAGTTTTATTTTTTTCTGATGTCTGGTTTTGCTATTGCATTTCTTAATCAGTTTTGGCTCTGAATTGTGATCTCTGATTAACAATACCTCCTTTAATTAGAGTTTCACCCCCACTGATAATGTAATTAAATGTCAGTTATTCAGTGTTAAGTCCTTTTTTCAATTATTTTGTCTTTTGTTTGCTAACCTAACTTTATTTATTTAAAAGTGAGGAAAGCATTATTTTAATTGTGGTGATAACTAGTCATATCTGTTCTAACTGTCTAATACCCTTGGTATTTTTATGACTTATCACCATAGCAAGCCTGTATATTTGGTCAAAGTAATGATTATGTCAGTACTGGGGTCATATCCAGAAAACTGCTCAGCATGTGAACGCTGCACGAATTGTTGCTGTAGTTAACTCACGCTGAGATTGCACAGTGAAGTTCACGAGTATTTATGAACACTCAAGTTCCAAATGCAGTGAACAGAGTAATTAATACACAGAGTGAGGTTCCAAATAGCTGTCCCAATTAAGGAAAGAGAGTGGAGTTAGGTCATGATGGAGTTAGGTTTTGAATAGTATCTATTGGATTTAGATACTGACCTCCACAGTGAACTGGCCCCATGTGTAACAGTCTGGTTTGCAACCAAAAAAAAAAAAAACAAACCAAAAAAACCAGAGAGGAGAATGCTGGACTTTTCAAACTGAGTGGTGCAGCTGACACCATGTAACTTCTCGCTGTCTGTGGAAGTTAAAGACACGCAGAGACAATTGAAGTAGAAGGCATATGGTATGTGGTTAAGTTAGCAAACAAGAAGCTAGCTGAAGTATCCGATAAGCTGTAAACTCGTACTCTGCCTTAGTCAGCTTTAACAAAGTCTATGCCTTCTATCCATCTGTATAGCTAGCATAAATAGAACAGTTCCCTGGAGATATTTTGTACTGCAGTAGACTCTGAGGCCTTAAATTTGCAATCTTTACACAGTCAACAGTCCCATTGATTTTTACTGATAGTTTAGAGGGATTTATGACTGCAAGATGAAATAGAGAGCAAATGTATTCTAACACTACTGTCAGTAGATTTGTTTTAAAGAAGTAGAGCATATCCCTGTAGGAGATTATTATTTACTTTTAATATACTGTAGGTCAAAATTTTCATGACCTGCAACTTTAAGCGAAGTGTGCCATTGGATACTTGCTCTGGTGGAAAAGGTACTGTATAAATACTAAATACAGTATAAGAATTAGCCTTTTGTATTAGTCAAGCATTAATGGTAAGTCCCTATTTGCTCTGGTGAAACTTGATGTAACATAATGGCCTTGTTCAGCTGGTGATCAGATTATAATAGCTCCGAATTATACAAATTGTTTCTGAAGTGTGCCCAGCCTAAGAGATGGAAAGCATATGATGGAAAAATCACTGAAATGGATACACAGCACACACTTCGTGCCAGAGAACTATTTGAAATCTACCGAAGCATTAGCATGAATGACATCCCAAAAGATGAGAGAATAGATGTGCTGTTAACACTCAGACGTACAGTGAAGGTATGTTTTATTTTTCTATTTATGTTTAGCTTCAAGCTGTTACTTCCCAAAGATACAGTCACTTAATTACGTTGACACATCTGCAATACTTCTTCTGGCAAACAGGTGCCAGGATGATCAGCTGGCAGCAGGATAAAGCCTACTGTATCACCTGGCATGAGAGTGTAATTTACATTCCAGATATACTCTAAATTCATATTTCACTTTGTGCACATTTTTTCTTCAGCTTGTGTTAGAATCTTAACCGCATGCTTTTAGATTTTTTCGTATATTAATACATAATAAAATTTTAGTACAAAGTTTAGCTTAATGTTTATAACAGCTTGATGAAAACCATGGTAGAGATGTAAGAGGCTATTACTATTCTTTTGTCTCAGTTCTTCAAAATGTCTGTCTAGAACCTTATCTCTCTGTTGGTTTGGGTTACCACTTTTATGGCTGACAAATACTGAGTTTTTTGGTTTTGTTTTCCCCTCCCTCCTCACCCCCACTGCTGCTGCCTGTGTTCCCAGGGAGTTAGAAGCTGGTTGCATTTCTTTGAGTCCTTCTTTTTTTTATTATTTTTTTTATTTAATTCATGTACAAAAAGAATAATATGAGTGTCAAGGTACTGTCAGGATGATGCTGTTGACAAACTAGAATAGAATGCTGTTTCCCGGTCTTATTAAAACAAATAAACATGTTGCTTTTTGCATTGGTAGTACCAGAATTTGATCTAAAGCCAATATAGCATTGGGAGCATTGCAGGTTTATGAACTCCTGCCCATCTTAATATAAGTCAACATTGCCGTAGTGAACAAATTGTAGAATTTCTGTAAATTAAGCACTGTATTTTAAGTGAGAAAACATTGAACTCATTCACCTCTTATGTCTCTTTGGAGAATCTCCTGCTAAGCATTTGAACTATTGAAATGGCTAATTTCCAAGCATACTCATAAAGTCCCCCATGCCTTTTATGTGTTTGGGGGTTTTTTTGGTGGTGGTTTTTTGTTTTGATTTGATTTTTTTTTTTTAACCATCTACTGTGTACATACATTACATCTCCTATCGCATAGCCGAGGGAAGCTTAGGGATGTATTTTTGGGGGCTTTTGGAGACTGAAAACTTTGCATGTGTTCTGTGCCTCTGCTTAGCATTTTTAATGCCGCCAGGTTTACAGTTCCTCACAGCTTTGGTGTATATATACAGGCCCCTTTAAATCAGAACCTGTATGCATTCTCAGTTTTCAGTTCTTTATGTTAGTTTCCTTGGAGGTTTTTTTCCTGAGACACTAAGGGATTCTTATATGAACCTGTTCTTACAAGAACATACAGAGGTACAAATGATGATTGGCATAGAATCTATAGTTTGCTTTCATACCTGCGTTAGAATTATTTTGTTTGTTTGCTTTGTTATTGTTTGTTTTCCTTTGTGTTTTCTTTCAGGAACATGAATGTAAATTAACGTGGGAAATAGTGGAATTAATTGACAGGGAAGTTGATCTTATGTCGAGAGAGGTGAAAGAATGCAACTTAGAAGGACTGAGGAAAAGAATTTGTACATTATTTCTTCAGTATATTAAAACTCCAAAGTTTAACCCTGAAGTTGCTAGGATACTTAAGGTATTATTCCTATTTTGCAGTCTGACATAGTGGCCATCGATCTAAGGATGGTGGAGAAGGGGAATGGAAAACAATGAAAGCTTTTTTTATTTTACATTTTGCTGTAGAATTGAGTTCCTCAAGAATTAAAATGTAGCAGGTACACAGGCTTCACACAAAGAAGCTTATATAGTCAGATAGGAAGAATGGGGCATAGACTTGGGTATAAGAACCTGACAAGTGGCTGGAAGTACTGAGAGCACGCAGGAGCTCTATGTATGAAATAAAAAAAATCTGAGAATTATAAATGGTAGATCTTATGGGATGGTAACAGTAAAATATAATAGCAAATGGGGAACCAATAAAGAGAGCAATTATCTTTTTTTCCACTGGACAAGGGGCAGCGTCCCATGCGTCCAGAAAGGAAGAACATTGACATCGTCATAGTGATGTCTAATAAGCTTGCATCTAAGTGAGAACTGTTACAAACTGTTTTACAACCAGTTGCTACTTCATGAGAAGCAGTTATAGCTATGAAGTGGAGATAGTGGTAGACACCTCTCAAATTGTGTGATTGTTTTTCTTTTCTGACTACAGATTACAATTAAAAATATGATTCATTGTCATATATTGCTGCTTTAAGCAGCAACATGTATTCTGCGTCTATCAGAAGAGGATTCCTCTTACAGTGGTTGATGGTATCTCAGGAATAAAAAATCTGTTAGTAAATGTTAGTGGGATTTAGAACCAACTAACAGTTACTTTACACCAGGTTTATGTTATAGCAGAGACTGGAGATGGGAGACCTTTGTCTTCTGTAGCTGTTGGTTAACTGTACCTTGAGTTGAAGGCTGAATTGCACCTGTATTTGTATTTGAATCTTGTAACCTTCTGTAGACCATAAAAAAGATGGCAGTTCATCAACAGACAGTCAAAGTGACCAAATCTTCAGGGTACTTTCAGATGACAGATGACCACAACAGGCAGCTGGATTATCAGACTACTCAAACTACCCAGTTACAGACTTGGGCCCTCTGCACAGACCCCATTATATTCTTTCCAGAACCCTTGAAGTAATATGAGAGTGAAGAGGTTATTAGCAAGTTTAGTTTATCTTCCCCTATATTGTTTTTGGACACGTGGCTTTGATGATTTTATATTCTTATGCCAAACTATTAATATGCCCATAATCTCAGGGTTTTATCTTTGACACAAAGGGCAGATTCTATATGAAAAATTAAATGCAGAAGAATTAGTTTCTCTTGTATCTGTGTTGTCATCTTTCCAGAATGGCTGACAATCTGCATACATAAAAGCGCCATCAAGAGCACTGAAGCATAATGTCTAGGATCTTCATATAGCTTAAAAACAAATTTACTGATTTGTATAACTGATTTTAACAAATACAGTAAGAAAATAGAATGGCTTTTGGTCTTCTATTAAAAAAAAACCCAACTATTGGAGATTTTAAAATAAGTATTACTGGCTTTTACATATTAGAATACATGGATAAGCATATGTAAAATGTGTTCCAATAGAGTTAGGGTGACACACAAGTAAAACAAAGATACTTTATGGTAAATTAACTTCTTTTTTTAAATCTTTTAGGTTCCACCAGATCCCTTAAAGCTTTATAAAAACGTTAACTTCTGTCATAGTTGCGAAAATTACTTACCATCTACTGAATTTCCTGTTCCTGCTAATTCCCGCACCATTGGCAGATGTCGCTTGTGTTGCAAGCTTGATAATGAGGCTCGGCGTCGGGAAACGTTTTTGGAGTACAAACTTATACTAGAAAATCTCAGAAAGTCTGAAGCTGATTATCAGGATGATGCTAAGATTGTTTTCTTAATTCAGGTACTGTCTGAAAGAGCATTACTGCTAATGGGAACCGGAGGCTTTGCCTATAATTTTTCCTTTATTTTGTGTATTTTTTGACAGGTGGAGAAATAGGCTAAAAGCTACAAAAACTTCTTCCTGTGATATGGGATGTTCCATACCATAAAGAAGAAGGACTTAAGTTCTTGGAGTATAGCTGTACTTTCAAAAGTGGTTACAAGCTGTACATTAAAAGAAAGTAGAAGTCTAGCTGACAGGTCAAAGAATCAGATGATCCAAATTCTTCCGGTTCTCCTGTGGCCGTCCTATTGCTTAAAGATACTGGCATCATCTGTAAAACAACAATAATGTTTTTGCGACTGCAATATCCTTCAAGACATAATGCTAGTAAAACATTTTGAGCCCTGTTATTTTGATTGTTTTAGTAATACAACTAAATTGTTTCGTGTTCTCAGAAGGAAAGAAATAACGATGCTGAGGTTTCGACATTCCTGTTCTATGTCAGTAGAATATCCTTATAGTTGGAAGTTTTACTGTTTTGCATTTATTAGGAGAGAGATTCACTAAACATTTTGATTTTCTAAAATTTTTACCATCATCTGTAATAATCTGTAATCTTCTGCAATATTACTAAGTAGCTAATGATTATTAAGAAACATTACTGGAACAACTCAGTTCAAAAACTTCTTGCCCCTGTCTTCAGCAAATTCTCTCTTTTAGTTGTTATTACTTATTTTGTCAGCAAAAGAATTTGATATCCAATATCCACTAGGAAAGTTTCAAATCTGAGGTAATCGCAAGTGTTACTTATTGAAAATATTGAACAGCTGAGATTTATTTGAACTTCTGAGATTTAGTAATAAAAAAATCTCTACAGCATCAACATTCATAGAGCAGTTTTTGAACTGTATTTTCAGTATGTCTGAAACAACAACCAAGCAAACAAAAGTCAGTCATCAATATCCCACTGCTACCAAAACAAGCCATGCTGTGGTTTAGCACTTTGCCAATAACAGCTGCCAAAAGGAAGCTTGCAATTCTCTAATTATCAGGCCTGTGTTAAGAACTATTATAAAAAAACTTGGATTTTGTAGATGTCGTTCATCCATATTGATTTTTCACTTAAGCTGAAAAGTTTTTTGTCTATGCCTTGGTTTATCTTAATATATAAATATCCTCCAAAATTTTTTGTACCTCTCTGACATCACATCACTTGTGATGGCTGATGGCCACTGGTGCACTGAAACATGACTGCTTAACTGCTGACACCGAAAGCCCTCACTTGCAGTTCCATTTGTGGTTCTACCACTGCAACATCTCTAGATACTGCGTCATTTTCATCCAAATTAACTTCAAGTTCTTCTCTTTAGAGTTGCAAATATATAAACATCAGAGGTTTGTATCTTAAATCACTAATTTTGTTGGGTTTTTTTCCTGTCATTTCTTTAAAATATTATTTTTTTATGAGCTACTTTTTTTTTTTCTTCCCCTCCCAAAAAACTATCTGTCCCCTACTCCACTTAGATCCAGAAAACAACTCTGAGGTATCTAGAAATTACTTGGGCACAACTAAAAGTCTTTTGCAGCAGCTATGACAGCTTCATTCATTGCGCAGTGCGATACCATTACTGGCTCTGTATTATCTGTGGATAGACACAAGGCTTTTGAAAGAAGATAAAAGATTTCTTTTCAGATAAAAGATTTTTCTTCAAACCTCTTGTATACTGATTCTATGTCTGGGTTGACCACCTATATGAGTGCTGCTAAGGTTTAAAAGGCAAAAAGCAGTTGGTGAGAATTATGGTGATTCCACTAAATTCTGCTTACTGCATCTAAAGACCTTTTTGGTATCAAAACAAACTAGTTCAGCAAATATGACAAGTCATGAGGCTGCCTTTTATTCTTTCAGAGGGCTTACCTATGCCATGCTCCTTAGAATCAATGGTACATACTATGGCTTTGACTTTTTTTCTTGGTGAGCAACACCCTAATGGGAATGTCGTATTCACGTGAAGTTCACTTAACTCCTTTACTGGTTTGCTGCCTACCCTTGTTTCCCAGTCTCAGCTGCTGAACTGCGATGATACTTGCTCTCAACCCATTAGACAACAGTGCTTGAAGGCCGTTTCTGTTTCCTGTGAGCACAGAACAAAATGGGGGAGGGGAAGAAGGGAGAGGGAAAGCATCATTTGAAATTAATTAAATGTAAAATTTCACAGCAAAATGCATGCCTACCTTTAGAAAGTACAGAAGTCTCTTAACTCAAACTCTTCCCCATAACCAGAGAAGTTTTAACATAGAACAAGTGTTTGCCTATTTTTCTGGCAGAAAAAAAAATTGTAATCCAGGAAAAAGGAAGAGTCAAATTATGAATCCATTTTATGTGGGCTTATATAACTCAGTATAGATTTTTGCAAGTTTTGGTAACTTTTGAGATGTGTAGCTTAGCAAGAAGCTGATAGTAGTTGCTAATATGTCTGCTTGCAAATTTCTGACTTTTAAGAAGATAGAGAAGTTATTTGAAATTTTGTGAAAAGGAGGAATTATTGAAAACAGAAGCCAATTAGCGCAACCTAATAAAGGAGGCCCTGTAGGACCAGATTTAAGACCAGATGTAGGAGCAGTCCTATATTCCTGGAACCAGTAGGCACAGATTTATTATTCAGTGGAAGTTCTAAGCCCAGCTTTTATCATACATTTTCCCCGGCAAGAGTTTACATGGGCTCCTGGATTTTGGAAGCAAGATGGATGAGAATACATGAGGCTGCATTTCAGTGAAGCACGGTATTGGTACAGTTTCCTTCATCCTTTGTCAGAAATTTAATAAGTAACACGCAAATAGTGTTATGGAATTAAATAAGATTTCTTTTTAGAGGAATAAATATTCTTCAAATGGCTAGGTTGGAGGAAAATGTATTTAAAAGTCTGTTGTTTACAGAATCCTGTAGATAAAAATCTTCTAATAATTTTCCATAACTAATATGGAGAAGAATTAATGGAGGGTGACAGAAAAACTTACCAAACTTAAGTGGTAACTGCTCACCCAATTTCTTTCTTTCTTTTTTTTTTTTTTTCATTGAAGAGGCTGTTTTTATCAAGATTTAATAGTGATTTCAGATGGCTAGTAATAAATTAAACAAATTAAGATTGATGTAAATTAGCCTTAGACGTAGGTTAAAAGTACATTTAAAGGTCTTTCTGTACTAGAGAACCTTTACAAACAGACCTTTTATTAATTTTTGTTAATATTGTAGCATAGCTACTTGATTTTACAATCTCGTTTGGTAAAATCAAAACAGTATCATGAGCACAATAAACTCTCCATATGTCAACAGCAGAGTGAGGGGAAGAAAGCAAAGCAGGCATTGATTTGGGGTCTGTCACAGGTGGGAGTTTTTCCTGTCCTAATTTTCTGCATTTTCCAGGCCAGATTATTCTGATTATAAGTAAAATTTAAGTAATTTAGTAGTGTAATAACATTAATTCTGAATCCAAGAATGAAATGGTGAAGTCATCTCATGGATTATTGTTATTAACCAAAAAGGTCTGAACAGGCTTAAGTATGCTGTGTGAGGAAAAAACCCCCGTGAGATTTAAGAAGCTTTATAAGAGCAGTTAAACAACCAGGATGTCAACGGAAGATATGAATTGCCATTGGCAGAGACAATCGGAGAATGTACTGGTTTAGAGATGATACAAGGAAAATGCAGTTACTAATTGCCCCACCATGCTAAAGGAAGATGTGTCTGTCTGGGCATTCTTTAACCAAGTGATTATATGACACACCCATAGAAAATTTTTTTACTCAAAGCTGTATTTGGATTCTTATATGGTTACAACAGTTTTGTCATTGAATGAAACATACTTCTTCCTTCTTACCCCTGTTTTCCACTTCAGCACCAAGATCTGCAGTACATGATTGAGAACATATGGGGCTGTCAGTCAGCTCTCAGTGCCTGCAGTGACCTCCACAATTTGGTTATGGTCAGATGGGATAAGCAGCATGAGTGGTCTCCGTGGAACACTATTCTCCTCACTAAAGATGAGGCAGGTGCACACCTTAAGCTGTGTAACCTTCAGAAGGTAAAATTTGATAGGCTTAATTTTTCTTTACAATATTTATGTTTTAATAGAATAATGTGACTAATGATATTTGGCCAAATTTAGTTCTTACACTCATCCGTGTTTAAATTGGCCCATTGTGACCATTTAAATGATTGCGTCTGTACTATTAAAGAAAACAGGCACTAGTCCAGAGGGTAGCTGGCATGTACAACTCACATCCATGTACCTGAACTCTGTCTTGCCCTGATTCTCCCTCCCAAAACAGAAGAAGCTAAGTGGCCTCATCCATGCTGCCAGCTGAGAACAGTGTTGTGCCTACGCTCTTTCCTCAGCTGAGATCAGACCAGAGCTGGCCTGGATGAAAAACATGCTAAAGGTTGACCATAAATACTGTTACAATTGTGGTCCTGTGCTCTTGCACGTCACTGACCTCATTAGTTTCTGGCCTTATAAATTTCTCATCAAATAACAGAATGGCTCTTTTTCTAGAACTTACCCATTTGTCATAATAAAATTTGTCTCAATTTACTTTTATGTACATGTTATTTAAGTACCCCGACAATGTAATCTTATAGTTTGCAATTAAGCAATAAAAACATAATTGCTGTTCTGACTTAAAAAAAACTTAAGAATTTAAAGAAGTAATTGTGTATTTTTACACCACTCCCCCCAAATTCCATATCTAAACATGGTAATCTGGTAAATATCTCACTCGACTGGACATCATATGGTAGAGTATTTAGCTTTCTAAGGCACAGGAGAATCCTGTGAGCTGTGTTTGTCCTGCAATTAGTAATGGATTATCAAGCCTTTCACCTCTAGGTTATTGATTTGTTTAAGTAGTGATTGAGGTCATTGCTGTATAGTGTCCTTTCGTTCGGGGTGTCCTTAATTCAATTTCTAGCACAATATGTGTACATCACAAATGCAACTTCAGCTGTGACGCATTGCGCTTCTTTTGGGGAGTCTTGAGAGCATGTGATAACTGAACTGACAGAGAAAATTAATTGCTCTCTTAATGAAAGGTTTGCTTTGGGGATGAAATATATCAGTCAGAGAATTCTAAAGGTAAAGGGAATTCTGCCATCCATGATATTTGTGTGTGTGTGTGCACTCAACTTGTGTCTTCAAGCAGGCACATGTTTATGTGAGCATTAACTTTAAAAGGTAAAATCAGTTTCAAACTGGAAATTCCTTTATTGACACCTCTGTCTCACTTTCAGTCAACAAGGCTGTTCAGGCAGTCTGAATCTAGCGATGCTTCTCTGCATCCATAAATTTATGTTACTGTCATTATGGCAGACAAAGATTCTGATTACGCACTTATCTGGTTTAATGTCATAAGTCTGGATGTCTTGGTCAAATAGATGCTATTAACGTGATTAGGTCCAGAGCTTCAGTGGAGGTGGGACTTAGGCCAGAAGAGCAACAGGTAAGGTGTGCAAGCTTGCCTAGAAATTCTAAGGTATTTTCACTTAGCTGTGGACCAGCCATAGTGAGGAGTCACCTTTCTTCTCTGGTAATGGTCAAAGCTTTGTTTCAAAACCAAAATGAGTGTGAAATAAGGAAAATGAGGCAAAGTTAGAATGCCGTAAGTTGGATCACTGTTTTTCATTCACTGAAACAAAAAAAGGCCTCTCAAGCACTTTCTTTAAAAGCAGTTATTCGTAACGACGACTATAGCGATAGCAAAGTGGTTTTTCAACTAAATATTCTGGTTATTTTTTACATCCTATTAACTATTACTAATCAGTAGAAATTTAGGAAAATGTCACCACTGAATGCAAAGGCTGACTGAAATGCTGCAAAATGCTTGCTGCCATGATTATTTGTAAATAATCACTCTGATTCTTATCAAGGAATTTTCCTATACTCATCACCTTGCAGATGTTGATACTTAAGCATTGCCTTTTTTAATTTGCAAAGATAAGTGCAAATGTTCTTACCTGAAAAGAAATAAATAAGTTTTATCTTGAACAGATAAAAAAAAATGCTGGAAGTTTTTCTGTTTTTAAAAGATGACTAATATTTCACAAGGAGTGGTTAGTAATTTTCTCTATTGGGCCATAAGGTAGCAGTATAGAACTACAAAATATTTCATTATGTATCATATATGAATAAATTATTTGACTTAGTTTATTAAGGGGTCACTATTTATACTGTCTAAAGTATGAAGGAACATGTAGATTGTTGGATATTTTAATTGTATTTAATGAGATTTGGATTTTTTTTCCTTTCAGGCTTATAAAGCAGCATTTATTCAGAGAATAAAAAATAAGCATATCCGGGCAAAAAACTACTTTGCTCAGATTCCACTGATGACATCATTTTTGAATAGGAGTGACAATCAGGCTAATGCAAATGAATTTTTAATAGCTACGTCTATTCCTACTGCTACAGAAACATAACTCTTGGGCGAAATTAACTGAAGTTAAAGAAGTTAACTGAATTATTGATTAATACAATTGCTTGATTTTAAAGAAATGTACTTTTTCATCAATACTTTAATTGTATTACACAGATCAAAATAAACTTCTGAGGATAAAATAATTTGATCTTGACTATTCAATATAACTGCATTTGATGTTTTGTAACCTCATTATTTAAAAAGTAAAGTGTTATTGATGAGCTTTGAAAACTAAATTCTTAGAGCAATGACTGTCTTTCTGTGTATGCCTGTGTTGCTTGGAACATTCTGTCTGTAGTGTAATATTCCCATTGGGGAAATTTAGCTAATTCCTTGTCACCTTTTAATTAGAAAAATAATACTATAAACACTGTATGAAATTATTTCTCTCATCTTAAGCGTATAAGGCAGAAAAACCCTCAAACCCTAAATTTCTACAGAACAGCAGAATTGACATGCCCTTGCAAGTACAGCTGCTTTGCCTTGAAAACATTTGTGCAAAAGAATAACTTTACTTTTTATAGCTCATCTTGATGGTCATAGTGGAACTGCCAGCATGTAATTATTGCATCCAAGATCTTGAAATTATTGTAAATCAGACTTATATTTTGAAATACACAACACAGACTGATTGGAACGTTTATTTTTTTGAGGAGCTTTTAAGGTAGGTTAGCTTTTAAGGTGTTATTTAAGGTAGAAGTCAATTCTCTCCATAAACATATCTAAATAAGTTTATGTTTGATTATATTTACAGAGAAAAATATGATATGATGTAGATTCAATGAAGTCCTAATGAAAGTTGCAAAATTGTACTTGAAACCTCTATTCTAGACGTGACTCAGGACAAAGCCTTTTGCTCTGACAACTGTCTAGGAAAAAGCAGTAGCATTTACAAAGAGAAATAAGCATATATTTGGCAGCAAACAGCTGGAAACCAGATTGACTCCATCAACAGAACATGAACTGTAGAACCAGTACCTGACTGTCCAGTGCATCCTAACATTAGTGGAGTCTTTCCATTGATTTTACCATTAAATTCAGATCCTGGATTTTAGTTCAGTACTGAACTATTTATAGAATTGCAGCACATGAGCATTCAGGTTGATTTATGTGCTTTCCAGGATCTGAGCCTTAAGATAGGAATGGCTGGTAAGGTTGGGATAAAAGGATTTTTGAAGCAAATTTTGAGTCGTTCCCCTGCAACTTACCTCACAGCACTCTTTTGTGAGCAGGACTCCAAGCATGAAGCAGAATTTGCCTTCTACCCACCTCCAACACCACTGGCAATCCATTTCCAGAGGGAAAAGTTCCAGCTTGCTTCCCACACGCACAAGTGGGTAACATGATAATTTGGCAAACACCACACGTTTTACTTCCCCATTCCCAAGAGCAAAGTCCATGCTTTTTCCAGGATGTAATTTTCCCTATTTGTGTCTCAAAGGAAGAACTCAGAGTAATCGCTCCTTCCACCTACTTGTCCCAAAGAGATGTCCCAATGAACAAAACATGAATTCCTTTCTTAAATTGTAAAATGATTGTAAAAAGTGATAAAAAGGATTATAAATAAAATATGTGAGGGTAGCAAAGTAGTTCTGACCAATGTTTGGCATGTGGAAAATATTTTTTCAATAGGAAATGATACTAACAGTAATTATGATTTAAAAAAATAATCACCCAAATCTTGGATTCTTTTAATTATTTTTTTTTTTTTAAAGAGCCTAAATTTGCATATGCCTATTATCTGAGCTGAAGGAAGAGGTTCTTTAATATGCTGCTGTAGTACCATGTTAGCTCCCAAACCTATTGCTCAAGAATCCCATTTGCATGCAAAACTGATGGCACTTATTTTTGTCACCTGTCTAGAGATAGCTCTTTTGGTTTATCTTGCACTGTAAATTGTCCTTGTTACAACAGTCATCTCTTTTAGCCTGACTTGCAGTCCTAAATTTACCTTCATCCTACACAAATCTGGCATTCGCACTTCTTTTTATTCAAAATTTTTTATATCAGGAATGTAGAATTCTGAAGTTGAGAGGATTTTTTTTCTTTTTTTTTTTTCTTAAAAAGATTCATAAACAAAAGAAAGTAAGCCTCCATCACCTTGGTCTGTTCTCCCTACTATTTTTATAAGTCACATATTTCAACTTTGACAGCATAGGAAATATGTGGGACATGTGATTGCATACAGTTGTAAAAGAAATTATGTATAAATCCAGACAAATGGGTAGGACTAGAATGTAAATACAAGTTATGTCACCATTATAGCCTCTCTTAATAACTAAAATAATTTTAAGTGGAGATATACGGTAACGCAGGCATTGTTTTAATCATTACAGTTTTTGATGATAATGATTTCACAGTAGTCTGAATTTCAGTATTTTGAATTTGTGTTTGGTTCAAAAAAATATTTAAGTGCAAGCAGTTCTAAGCCTGGACTCAAGATCACCTATGGGTTTTCAAGGAAAAAGCGCTATGGAAAATACAACAATAAACTGTGTGTGCTTTTGTGTATACTGACAGACATCAATCAAAAGTGGTTTTAGGTTCCTGCTCACAGATAAAAGAACTGCTGTGATCTCATCCCATTTTAATTAAATGAAAGAAAGGAGTCTTTTTGAAAAATTTCTCTTTGCAGTAGGTTTATTTTTTTCGTATCGTTTGGCAGGAAATCTTTATTTTTAGGAGTGAAGAAAAAAAAGAAAAAGGAGCAAATATATGCAGATGCATTTCTGAGCTGAATTTACTGAGGGAGGCAAATTAAAATCCCAGTCAATGGGTTCTTCTCATTCCTTTTTTTCAAAGCTTCCTTCACTTCAGTTGTTCCCAAACTGTGGTTTGTGGAGAAATATTAAAAAGAAAAATTAATTTTATTTTCAGTTAAAAGTAATATGGTAATCTGAGAGAAAACAATCCGGTTTTGTTTCAGAAATTTTAAGATTGTTTCTATAAGGTAGAATATGGATTGTATACTGACCAGCTGTGCTCCATCTCGCTTGTGTGTGATTTGGTTAGTGCGTGCAAACGCCCTCCAAAAGATCCAGCTCAAGCCAAGGGATAATCAGTTTTTGAGATATTACCAGCTGGAAAGAGACAGGGACAATATACCTTTCTTACATAATTATCTCCCTTGTATTAAGTTCTCTTTTGTTTTCATTAATCTAAGTGTCAACCGTTTCAGAGACAAGAAGCCAGGAATCATCCAGGGTGTCAGCCTTTGAGTGTGGACTTATAGAAGTTGTTTCACATGCCAGCAGTGGAGTTTTTGAAATGGTGTGAATGTTTTAGCCTTATGAAAATGCTATTACTGGTGGTAATAGCACCAGTCACCCATTAAAAAAGTAAGGAATTGTCAAATATTTAGTAATGAATCATTGGCTTTTGTGGTGAGGTACCTATCAGGTTACAACACACCTGTGTACAATGCTATATATTTGTTGGTCTTGATTTCCATATATTCAGATCAGGTTGTCGAGGGCTTATTCTGATGTGGAAGTCCTGGCAGTGTGGGTCATATCACGGGGGAGACGAGACCTGCTTTAACATACTCTTCATTGGTCCATGTTAGAAGAACAGTAAGATATGCTGCTTTCCTGCTCTGTTTCGTGTAGCAAGGATCTCTGCATTGTGCAAGCTAAAGTATGGAAGGAGTCACAATCTGCGAAGGCATGGGCTTAGTGGAATAACAGAAAGTGTACAAGTACTAATGCGCTATTTCTCTAGACTGCCAACTGCAATGCAAATCTAGTAGGTTCTGCAAAATTGAAAGGTTTGCTGGAAATTCTGTGATTCCTTTAGTATCCTGTGGGCAACCACATTGTACGCTCTTGATTTATATAATGCTGACCTTCAATTTGTCTTCATTTCTTATATGAAGGTTAATTGTAAGAAGGAGACAGGAACAGTTACAGTTGATTGGCTTTGCGGGCAGAAGATACACAAAAAATCGGGCAAGACTATTCTGGTCAGTTATGTGAGAAACCAGATCTCTCACGTTCGGGAAGATACCATGGAAAAGTCAACCACTTCCAGAATTATGAAGTATTTTGCTTGTGTTGACCAAACTATTCCAATTCATACCAAATTCTCTCCAAGGTGTTCCAGTTCTACCCATCTTTGTGCTCTGAATTGCTGTCTTACCTATACGCTCCCTTAAACAGTTGAACAAACACTGGCTTGTGAAAAAGGAAATGAAGGATTTATAAAATATTTCTGAAGAGAGGACGGAAAAGTGCCATCAAAGGGTTGTTTTTGTTAGTGTTATGTACAGGTACCATGGAGAAGAAGAGAAACATGTAGATGATTTGGTTTATTGCTTCCCTCAAAATTATTATTTTTGTCTCAGAAATCTGATTTCAGATTGAAGTGATGAACAAATTGCCTTATCTTAGACAACAGCACTGTAACAGTATGCTGTGTGTTAAGGCAAATGGATTTCATTAATCAAGCTATGTGTGCTCAGATTCAGAAGTACGTATCTTCTAACATCTGTTTATATCTTCTCTTACAATTTTTATTGTGGTCCCCTATTTTTCCCTTATCACAACTTATTTTAACATAGCTCATAAATTTTTTGGTGTATTATCTCTAACATCTTGTTCTGATTGTGAAGAGGCATCTGTGCCTTGTGCCAACCACGTGCTGAGTGACTGCTGCTGCCTGATGTAGTCACAAGGTGTAGAAACAGCTCGGTGCTTGGCAGCAACTAAAAAGTATGCTGGAGGAATTTGCTTCCCAGCATGAAGAAATTCTCTATGACTATTTTGATCTTTCATGAGACTTGTGAAATACTGAAGTCATGTCAGGTTCTGAAGTGATTATAATTTGTTCCTGACTCTTGGTAATTTTTATTTTTGGGACAGTATCGCTCCATGCAAAAGATAGCTGAACAATTCCACGGTTCAGTGGATAGACTCCAAACGTACGATTTTCTCACTCTCTTCCTTCTTGCTGGAATCTGCAATGGATAGATTTACTGCAGATTTCAAACCTGTCAACACCCAAATGTGTGACACCAGCTCTCAATACATGTGACAGAGCTAAGCTGAGGGACATGATGATATGTAGCAGGGGAAGAAGATAGAAGTTCTGCAGAATACATTTTATGCAGTGCAGAAAACTTTTCTATAAACTCCATTTTGCAGTTGAGCAAGTCTGTTATCAGCCTGCAGTTATCAGGGAGTTAGAAAACAGTAGGGCAGGAGTTTGGACTTCCTGACTCTCCCTTGTACTAGAATGTTAGAGGAATCTGACTATGCTTATAATGTGCAGAGTTTTACGAGCTGCTTACATCATAAAACTGTAAGTTATTAAGAATATGTATCACTCCCAACTTCAAGCTAAAGAAGTCTATGTTTTGAAAAATTCCCCCCTGTCATTAGAGAGCAACCTCACCCCGCAGCCTGGCTGAATCCGGATAGCTGCAACTGAAGCAGAAAGTGCAGCTGTGCATACGCTCAGACTTTCCTTTGCAGCTGGCCAGTTACGTACGCACTTGCCTGGAGTCATGATGCAGCCCCGCTCCGCTGCTGGAGCCCCGCTGCTGTGCGCCCTCGCCGTGCTGGTCAAAACGTCTCTGTCAGTGGACCATGTACCGGTGCTGCTTTGGTCAACTCAGAGGTAAGAAATCTAATAAAGAGTATCTCTGCTTATGCTACTGCTCTGCCTGTGTGTGCAGAAAATATTGTATATCATCAGTTGTGGTAAATAATCTCTGAGAAGTAAAATTACCCAATAAATAAATTTGCATCTTGGCAATCAAACGGCCTAGCAGAAGAATTTACTGATTTTTATTTATAATTTTAGTGTTCTAAGCTGGGCAGTAAGAAGTAAATAAAACCCATATTCTTCAAATCTGAAGTAGATATGCTCTATTCACCCTAAGACAACTTCGAGCTCCACTGTTTGAGATGTCATGACTTAAAGGCATCACCTAAGGCATTCTCACAAAAAGGAGATAACCAAAAACTGTGTGGGTAGCCTTAATCCTTGCATTTCCTAACTCCTGAATCCTGATTTTTCACTTTAATGTTCTTTTTAATGCAATTTTTTAAAATAGAATACACTGCTATATGTATTGGCATCAGTTGTTAGAAACAACTGCAGAGTCTTGTCAGATCCAGAGACACGTGAAATTCAGGGGCTTGCATGTACTTATAAGACTTTGAACCTGATATAGATATAGACCTCTTTTTTTCCAACCAGAAATTTTATTCATGCAGACTTTAAGGATTTTATATACTTACTAGGGATTTTCAGAGATACATCAGCTTGGGCAAAGTAGTAGCGTTAGGTGGGATACTGGGTACAGAAGGTTGTCAGAGGACTATGTGCTCCTTATTCACAAGGCTGTCTCTGCAGGGCGTACACATTGGTTTTGTCTAGGAAGTACTGCCCAAAAATACAGTAAGCTGATGTCAGAGGTTTGTAAGAAAAGAATCCTGAAGGGCTTTTGGGGTTGCAGGACTGATTGGAAGGGCTAAAGGCAAAGTCCTGTTCTGGATGGGAAGGTGACAACAGATCCGCTGTACTCTAGATTTGCTTAAGGCGTGCTCTGGCCTGTGTAAATCACTCGACTCTCTCCTCCCAGTTCCCAAATCCTCGCCACTCTTAACCTGGTTTATCTAAATTGTAAACCATTTCGTGGAGAGTTCATCTCGTACCCTCTGCAAGCACACAGGTATTATACCTAGTTCAACAGGCCTGATCTCAGCTGGGTATTTATTCGTTGCGCTAATACAAATAAGCTATAACACCTACAGTATTTGGAATTTGTCATAAACCAGCTGGGTGACTTCATAAGCATAAAATGCTTTCCTGTACGATGAATATCCTTGGTGCACAGGATCCCTTTGCTGGCATGACCAAGCTGTGTGTGCCTGGACAGGGCGAGTTTTGCTTCTGAACTCCTTTGGTCATCAGCTCTTATCAGGTCTGAATTCATGGGATTTGACTGTTTTGTATCTTTATTGCTTTGTTAATTCCCAGAGTGTTACTTGTGATTTACTCTTCTGTAAAGTGAGAAAGGAATCAAACCAATGGCTTCTTGGGAGGTAATTATCCTTTCAACTAGTTGCGCTGGATTCACTCTACCTTTCATGAGGCTTTGAGCCACTCTTCAACACATTTGAGACACTATGAATTATCTAGCTGTCACTAGGAAGAGAATTAGACTAAATTCTGCTCTCATTTATCCCAGTGTAAACTTTTTCTCTTTAGGCAAAATTATTAAGATTTAAATCCGAGAGCTAAATCTTATTAATCTTTTTTTTTTCTTTTTTTTTCCCCTTTTTTTCTGTTGCTTCTTAATGTGGTAATTTAAAGACAGCAATAGGAGGATTCAGAAATTTTGTGAACATCAGGAGTTAGATTAAGTTCTTCACGAGATCTTTCTCCATGTATAGTGCCATATAGACAAGCATGTTACTTTTCTGTTTTTTCATACGTTGAGCTGTAGTGTGAGGACCATGGAAAACAGATGTGCAGGAGGTATCGATGGTGTTTCTTTCATACGTATTCTGAACATTGTATTCTTTTCCCAGCAGTAATTAATACCAGCTTTGCTGTATGTCCATCCATATCTTAAGCATTTCCAGAAGCTGAACTTCTGGTCCTTGGGGAGCCACAGCATATAGAATTCTGCAAATTTTGATGAAGTTTGATTCAGTTACTTTGACTTATTTTTTTCCCCTGAAAGAAATACATGGATGTCTCTACATCAAGGCTTTTTTTTATATTCAAAATACTTAATTGATTCACCTCTATATAAGAAAGACAGGCACGTATGAGTACTAACCTCTGTATTTAAAAGCAAAGTAAATGTTGGAAAGAGTTGTTCTTAGGACAAAAGTGATCCTAAGAATCTAAGAAAAGATCAGTTCTTCCTTTGTCCTACTTCCTAGTTTATATAAACAACACACCTGTTGTCAATAAAAGCAAAATCTTATCAGTTAATCCTGGGCGGTCATAAAAGCAAACTTTCCACCAAGATGCAATTAGCAACTTGCTCTACTGCAGCTTGTTCAGGTTTATACAAATCTAGAGCAAGAAAATCAGGATACTGGACTGATTAAACCAGTTTCATCTTTCCAAGAATAGAACATTTTCTGGAAGAAATGTTCCTCCTACCACGACCTTTGCATTTGTGAAAGGTGAAGTTCTTGTGGGGCAGAAATAAATTCTGATGAAAGTAAATGAAGCAACTAGAAAAAAGATTTATGCTATTTTCTAAAATAAAGAAACAGTAACAGTAACAGCAACTTCTGGTTGCTAACCCTTAACTCTGTGCTTTACATCTTGGTACTTTGCAGTGATGCAAGGTTTGCAGCGTGTGATCTACAGCTTTATGAAATCTGGAAACTACTATTAAGAGTTTTAGGAAGGGTAACCAAAGAAATGCAGCAGTTATCAATGCATTTCTATTCACTTTGTGGAACCATGTCCCACCAGTTTAAAACTTCAGTGATCAACAGAAGCTGAGATTCACCATCTATTCCATCACCCTCTCCCAGGTTATCTGTTAGGATATCATATCGAATAGTTGAAGGATAACACATTTTACTCTTCTTTAGAACTAGCCAGTGTTTGTAAAGCCATATCTCAGAACAGCTATATTAGAAGAATGTAACACTTTAAAGTCTTTTTTTTTTTTTTTACGCATTATTATTGTACTGTAATCATGCTATTAAAGGTAATGTTAGATGTCAGATACAGATGAAACCTGCAACTGAGAAACACATGCAGTGTGCAAAGCATAAAGAAAGTGTGGTATAAATCCTTACAGGGACATCAGTAAGTCAAATACTTGTTTTCTGTAGAAACAGAAATGCAGATCTGTACTTTGAGAAAAGTAAGTATTTTCGACCAAACAACAGTTTTTCTCCATTGAACTCAGGAAAAAGATGAAGTGGGAACGACTCAGTAGGTCACAGTGTCCTGCTTTTCACAAACTATTACTAATATATCAGTGGACATTCTCCAAAAAACTTTGGCCTGGAAAAATTAACCTTTGTCATAATTTAGCCTTTAAACTAATATCTCCTGGTTTCTTTTCAAAGCAGTAGAGATGCAAAGGTTCCTCTTGTACATGATTCACAGAAGAAACTTGATTTAGCCCTTTTGAACCAATATTCAAAAGAATTTCTTTCCCTCCATAGATTAGAGAGGGAGCCTGAGGAAATAAATTCATCAAAATTAGCTTTCGTGAATGCTCCTCATGTGTTTGTTTTTAGGACTAATTTATGCCTCTAGTAATTGAAAATATATTACTACCTTCATTTATGCTATGCTTATATTGGAAATTAATTGTTTTCTGGTAAATCCAGATCATAAGTGACTCTGAGAAGGCATTAATGCCAAATAGTACATTTGCAGTATTTCTTAATATATTTCAGCAAGAGATTTGCTGAAAAATCTGCTGAAAGAAAGAGGAACATAAAAAGGGCACAATGGAAACAGAAAATTATTTTAGTTGTAACTGTATTGAAGTTCTGTGGTGTGCTAGCATACTTGAGTAGCTTTTTGAATTTTTTACCTATAATCATGAGTTTTCATTCTACTGCTGCTACTAGTAACGGTGACATGTGAGCTTTTTGTGTAAAAGTGGTATTTGAAGGTCATTTCCAAATTTTTTTTTATTACCTTGTTTACTGCTGCTGTGCAGGAGAAAATATTATTTTTTATATGTTAATTATGAGGTGACTGAAAGAGACAGCTGACAAGAATAGCTTGTAGGAAAGAGTTCAGAAGCCAGCTACAAAGCAAGAATGTAAACTCACAAGTTCAGAGTGACAGAAGTCCTGTTATCTTACCGTCTGCCCTTCTGGGAGGTCCAGATACAAGAAATCTTGAAATCTTTGCTTCCATCAAAAATAAATGTTCAAATCCCAGTTCTACCTAGAAAGAGCACTGGTCAGAGAAAAATCTGTATGCTTAAACTTCTTGTCGTGCCAGAGCAGCTAGGGACAAGAAAGACGCAAAATACCAAGCTAAGCTTTCTTTCTTCTCTTTCTTTAGTGCATTTTTGGGCTACTGGAGGAAAGAGAGAGCAGCTGAGTTTTACGTTTCCTCCTTTTTAGCCAGCAGAAAAGCACATACATTAGCAGAGATGCCCGTCGTTGTCATGGCTGAGGACCCCAGGATGGTTCTACGGTGGAAAAGTAGCAAGCAACAAGGCTGATGTGCTTGGCGTGCAGATGACTGCGCAAGACCGTGCTTCTTTGGACATAAAGTTTTGTGTGAGCGATCAATAGTAGCAATCAATACGTGTGTTGGCCCACTGCCTGTTTCATCCTGTGCCGCATCCCTTACTGATCTCTTGCTGCCTGCTTGAGGTGAAGAGTTCAAAGGGATGGACGGGTTCATTGCACGCAGTAAAGCATACCTTCAGCTCATCCGCGATGCACTGTCTGCGGCAGTCACGTATCTCCGTTTCACTCTGCAGTTCACAGTAAACCAGCCAGTAAAACATGCTGACATTTCCTGTCTGAACCATGTGAGAATACTGTTGCACCCAGCTGACAGGAGCAGCCCGTTCAATGAAGGGTGAACCTTGCGTACTGCCATGCATAGTGCTCAGCAAACTATTTAAAAGAAGGAAAATAAATCTATGTATCATATGGTGAATATAAGTATTAGGCAAATGCTGCATTGTAATAGAATTAATAACTAAGTGATGTAGATTTATTTTTCTAATGATGATGCTGGAGTTACTAAAGACTGCTCGGAAGCTAAAAAGTCTCAAAAAATGCGCTTTTCAAGGTTAGATATCTAGCAAGAGCTGCTTCAAGGAACAGGGAATACCTTAGAAGCAAGTATGCTTTAAAATAGGATAATTAAATTTCTGAGGTTTTGAGGTCACAACAAAAGCCTTTGCCATTATGCTGCTGCAGATGATAAATTAGTTTTGTTTCATGTGCTTTCTGTTACCTTTTCTTCTTAATTGTAAGTCCAAAAAGCTCTCAAAATCCTAATTTTTTCTAATTTACGCATGAAATATTTATTTCATTAACTTTTAAAATAAATATACCAAGATATTCACTATCATTTTCTTTCACACAAGCCATTTTTTAACATCTCTTTTAATTTAATCTATTTTATTTTCCTTTGATATCATTAGTGTTTAGGTGTGCCACACAATGCATAAAGTCAGTATGGAAGTCAGTTTCTGAAAAATCATTCAGAATCTTTGAGAGTTTTTATGGTTTCAAATATCTTATTTTTAAAGAATATATTTAAGTTTGACTTTTCTGAAAAGTCGATACATATATGCTACAATTTCTAAGTTGTTTGGTTTCATAAATATAAATTAATATGGATATCCAAGCACAAATTAACAGAGAATAGAAGATGCTGAGCAAAAATAAGAAAATATCAAATGCTAATTTCTACCAAATAGAAAAAAAATTCTTTCCTGCACAACAGAGTTTACTTCTAAAGCTTGAAAAGTGGCAGACAGAAGATCTGCTAGAATTTAATTTTAATATTTGCAGCACGTTGTCCTGAAAGAGTCTTCCACACGTACTGTTTGCTTAACACTCTCCCCAACCCCAGACTCTGAAGGGAGCCAGGTATCCAGTACTGCAGGACTGCACTGGTTTTATCTCAGCTGTGGGTGCAGTTGGAGACTTTCGAT